AAAAAAAAAAAAAAAAAAAAAAAAAAAAAAAAAAAAAGTATGTGTATACATAAAACCAAATAAAAACCAATATTATACAAGTGTAGAGCAAAGACAAATATACAAATTGAAATAAAGGAGCTATAAAACTAATAAATTAAAATTAATTTAAATTTGGTACATGTTGGGGGAAGAGTGTCTTAAGTTCTTTTCTGCTTTTAGTCCAGTTCAGTTAATATTGTAATTTGATAAGAATGTTATATCAGTTGGTGTTAACCCCAAGGATTTTTTTTTTTCCTGTCAACTAAAATTCTGTCATGGGTATTCAGTAATACCGTTTTAGTGGTATCATTTGATAACTCTAAATCTGTCTTGTAGAATTGAAAATGAGGTTAGTATTGATATTACTGAAATCTGAATTAAAAAGCTGTTGAATACAGTTATTTACATATATTTATATAGATAGATATTTATATATATTTATATATAATTATATAAACTTCTTTGTTAACGTCATACATAAAAATTAAAACAAAATATCAAGCCAGCACATTTTGAGGTGTTTTTTTTTCCATTTCCATGGAGAGAAATCTAGATTTCAGTTAAAATCATGAAAATCAGGAGGTTTTAATAATTAAAATGTGAGTTACAGGAAAGGCAAAATCTAGACAAAGGGTCATTTTGACAAGTAAGTTTTAACAGAAAATGTTTAGCCCTACTGCTTAGTTGGCAAAATTGAGAATTCATCATGCTAGGTAGCAGAGAGATACTTTGCACTAATGCGCCTGTAAGAGTCTCACACCTATACCAGTGTCAGATCTGTGAATTGGCACAGGCCAAAAGACTGGGGGAGCATGTATGGATGAGTCAGGTTAAAAGTTTCTCAGACAGCCTCTCAAACTGTCCAGTTCACAGCTGTGTACTCTAGCAACCCCTTAGCAATGCCCTGCTGGCATTGTGCAGATAGCAGTATGGACTCCTGCACTGGAGCTGGCTCTGGTAGAGGCCTGAAAATGAGCCTAAGGTAGTACTTTTTCTGTATGTCATATTCAGTGCATTTTGTTCATCTTAAGGAGAGTTTTAAAAAGAATGTGTTCTTCATCCTTTTTCTCTGATGTGCAATATGATAAAATACTTACAAGTAGTAGATGTGTTAGAAGTGATCTTTGGTATTCCTATGATTTTTTTTCACTTATATTTGTGGTACATGTTTATGTTAGTAATTATCTATCTGGTCTCATGGTAACCTTGTTTTTCTTTGTAGGAAAATCTGTTGTGCTACTTTTCATTGACACATTGTAAATTAATTACTGATTCAGCAAAGATGTTGACCTCTCTGTACTTTACATTTTAAGGTGTTCATATCAATCTCTTATCTTGTGTCTTTAGCTGTCCAGACTACCCTCAAGTTTACATACAGTGAAAAATACCCAGATGAAGCTCCCCTTTATGAAATATTCTCTCAGTTAAATCTAGATGATAATGATGTCTCAGACATTTTAAAATTATTAGCATTACAGGTAAGGAAATAACAAGTTTTGTAATGGCATTATTTTATTGGCCTTAAATATTATACAGTAATGTTAAGAGTCAGAAAATGCTATTAAATATGTATAACCAGTGTTTTGAACAAGCAAAATTCATGATGTGTGTGTATGTATATATATTTACAAAGCATCTTTATTTTTGTTTCCCACTGTACCTTTAAAATTTGAGTAAGAGAAGTTCTTCCTATACCCGTGTTTGAAACGCAGTTAACCCTGTGACTTGTAGGTGATAAAAAGTGTGATTAGGTACTCTAAGTTATAAACACAGTTAAAATTTGGTTCTCAGAATGCCTAGTCCCATGTGCACTTAAAAATTCCAACTTAAAAAACATTAAAACTCCTAACCCCCCTGACTTGTTGCAGGCTAGTTGCCTATAATTTGGTAAGAGGAGTGGTGGAAAATGGGTGTCAGAAAGTTCTTACCTGGCTAGTTCTGTGATGGGATGGGCTACTCACATCTGGGCATGGGGGGTATTTAAAGCTCTCTCTTGCTTGGGTAGAGAGTTTTCATGGGATCTTCAGAGTAGGGAGGAGGGAGGGCAAGTAAAATCTTACTCCACCATCTTAAAAGCAGAAGTCCTGATTTTGTTTGTTTTCTAAGAAGAACTGACATAAAACATGTCTCCATCATAAATGTGACTTGTATATTTCAAGGACTCTAGGTGCTCTAAATGCTGACATTTTAAAAATATCTGGAGCTATTAGAGAATGAAGAGGGAAAGGATATATCAAACATTAATTGATGCTGATCCTGGGCCCTGTTCACTCCGTTACCCAGTGTGAAGTTATATTAATTCTCTATATTTGGTTTAACATGCTTCTTGTAAAAACATTGCAGAGAGCCTGGAACAATATACTGTATTCAGTCAGTCGTATATTAGTGTAAGTTATTTGATCTGAGTGATTTTGTTAATATGCATTTTATATTTCATTTATACTCAAACTCCTTTCTTTCAAAAAGAAAGTTTTGATTTCTTTCTGATACTTACCTGAGATCAGAGATAGAGCACATATTTGTATTTTTTCCCCTAAAAGTAGTTATATTAATTTTTAGTTATCAAAATAATAAATTTATATTATAGAAAACTCAGAAAATACAGAAAATAATGAAGAAGAAAATAAAGATTACCCTTAATCTCACCAGTCAGGTATAAATGCCTAATAACATTTTGGTACGAATTCAGAAAACTTTTTCCTACAGTAGCTAGCACTATCAGTTCTCCAGTATGTTATCATTATTTTAGTTCTTTGAGGGTATTTTAAGAGCTCTGATAATGGACTGAATTTTGAGGGCAAAGTGATTTTCTAATGTAATACAACAATAAAGAATGTAGGTTCTTTTATGATTTATCTTTATGTATCCTTTTTTCTTTCTATTTGTAATGGTTTAAAACTAAAATCATGAAAACATGCTGGAGAACTGATGTTGCTAGCTACTGCAGAAAAAGGTTTTCTGAATTCTACGTACATTTATGATTATTACATAGAATTTATTGAAATTTCGTTTTTTCTCTGTTTTAGGTTGAATATGGCAAATTACAAGACTTTTAAAATTTAAGGTGTTATTTTTATATATATGCTTAATTCTTAAGTGATCCAAGAGTCCAAACGTATGGTGTAACTGAATTAGTAATCATGTTATAAGTGTATGAAGTGTCGTGATGATGCTGAAACACCTTTTTTCCCCCACTGGTTAGTTAGTTGTTTTTCTTTTTCTGAGAATTATGTTTCTCACTACAACCTTTTTTTCTTTTTTGGTTACATAGGCAGAAGAAAACCTTGGTATGGTGATGATCTTTACTTTAGTGACAGCCGTGCAAGAAAAATTAAATGAAATAGTAGATCAAATAAAAACTAGACGAGAAGAAGAAAAAAAACAAAAAGAAAAAGAAGCAGAAGAAGCTGAAAAGGTATATTTAAAAGTCATGTTTTCTTTCATTATTCTTTAAATCTGTTTTTGGGGGGGGGTTTGTTTTTGCTTTTGGAAATTTCAGTAATTTGGGGGGAATCACAAAAAGAAGCACAAGTAAATTTTAATGAAGCTTTACTAAATAAAATTTTAGAAGGTCCCTCATTCAGTTGGTGCGCATGGCACAATAATGATTAATAATCAGTTAGTTAAAGGTTAATAAAGCTCATGCAGGTAAAATCAAGAAATATAAACTATTTCAGTTACGGTATAGAGTTTAGAATTATAAAGCCTCCACTAGAGTGATTTAAATATTTACTAAATGTAAAGAAAACCTTAGATTCTAGAATGAAGTAAAAAAGATAAGCAATGATGTTAGTATTATGAATTGATGTGTATTTAAACATATTAATATTGACAGTAGCAACTTTCTTCTTAACAGTGAATAGCAATGGGGACACATTACATATTATCTTTGCTTTTTTGTAATAAAAATTAAAAAAGGACTTTTCCAGAGTAAATTGCCAAAACCAATGAGAGTAGCCAATGCAGGCAGAAATCAGACTAAATATTTTAAACTTGAAACCATTTTTCTGTTTTTCCTGTAAGTGGCTGTATTCATTTGTCTAGAAGATCATTAGGCTTTATTTTCTAACTGTTTTTCTTTTCTAAGCAATTATTCCATGGCACTCCTGTTACAATCGAGAATTTCTTAAGTTGGAAGGCCAAGTTTGATGCAGAACTCCTGGAAATTAAAAAGAAACGAATGAAAGAAGAAGAACAAGCAGGAAAAAATAAATTAAGTGGTATGACCCCTCATATCCTGTTCCTTTAAGCCCTCCTATATTATTTCTTACATAGCAAGAGGATCATTTGGACAGATTTCTATAAGAAAATAATATACTTACGCATCTAGGACAAAAAAAGAAAGGATTCTCTCCATATGGTGATGTTTCTTCACACATAATTATAATTAATTTTTATGGCTTATCTTTCATCTAAATATTGGAGTGGATAGATGTTGAGATATAACTACCATGACTTTTAGGATCATAAGCCTTAGGACTGATAAAATCAAACCCGTTTGTTTTTCTAGGACTCTGAGGCAGATTAGGCTTTCACTTGTTCCATTTTAATGCAAATACATTTCATATGCCTCTTAGCTACTCACTGAGTTCATAAATTGATTGAAATTCACAGAAAAAACAGGTTTTAAGACTTGTTTTTTTATAACTTGTTCATATTATTCTACTGTTTAAAGCATTTTAGGGAAGATGGAGGAAAAGTATGCCATTCGAGTTAAATATGTTTATTTCTTTTAGGGAGACAGCTATTTGAAACAGATCATAATCTCGACACATCTGATATTCAGTTCTTGGAAGATGGTAAGATAATGTTAGAATTTCACATGTACATAATGTGCTGTTTTTAATATTAAACCATGAAAATCATAGTAGTAACTTAATGTAAATTTTTCCTCCCAAGGCTACAAAGAAACACATTTTGAAGAATAAATTCTAATGTTTGATCAATTTATACATTAAACTACAGCAAAGTATTTTTTTTTAATAACATCTTTATTGGAGTATAATTGCTTTACAATGGTATGTGAGTTTCTGCTTTACAACAAAGTGAATTAGCTATACATATACATATATCCCCATACCGCCTCCCTCTTAGGTCTCCCTCCCACCCTCCCTATCCCACCCCTCTAGGTGGTCACAGAGCCCCGAGCTGATCTCCCAGTGCTATGCAGCTGCTTCCCATTAGCTGTCTATTTCACATTTGGTAGTATATATAACTCTGTGACACTCTCACTTCATCCCAGCTTACCCTTCCCCCTCCCCGTGTCCTCAAGTCCATTCTCTACATCCCTGTCTATATTCCTGTCCTGCCCCTAGGTTCATCAGAACCATTTTTTTTTTTTTTAGATTCCATATAAATGTGTTAGCATATGGTATTTGTTTCTCTCTTTCTGACTTACTTCACTCTGTATGACAGACTCTGTGTCCATCCACCTCACTACAAATAACTCAATTTCGTTTCTTTTTATGGCTGAGTTATATTCCACTGTATATATGTGCCACATCTTCTTAATCCATTCATCTGTTGATGGACACTTAGGTTGCTTCCATATCCTGGCTATTGTAAATAGAGCTGCAATGAACATTGTGGTACATGACTCTTTTTGAATTATGGTTTTCTCAGGGTATAGGCCCAGTAGTGGGATTGCTGGGTACTATGCTAGTTCTATTTTTAGTTTCTTAAGGAAACTCCATACTGTTCTCCATAGTGGCTGTATCAATTTACATTCCTACCAGCAGTGCAAGAGTGTTCCCTTTTCTCCACACTCTCTCGAGCATTTATTGTTTGTAGATTTTTTGATGATACCCATTCTGACTGGTGTGAGGTGATGTCTCACTGTACTTTTGATTTGCATTTCTCTAATGGTTAGTGATGTTGAGCATCCTTTCATGTGTTTGTTGGAAATCTGTATATCTTCTTTGGAGAAATGTCTATTTAGGTCTTCTTTCCAGTTTTGGATTGGGTTTTTTGTTTTTTTGATATTGAGCTGTATGAGTTGCTTGTAAATTTTGGAGATTAATCCTTTGTCAGTTGCTTCATTTGCAAATATTTTCTCCCATTCTGAGGGTTGTCTTTTCGTCTCATTTATGGTTTCCTTTGCTGTGCAAAAGCTTTTAAGTTTCATTAAGTCCCATTTGCTTATTTTTGTTTTTATTTCCATTTCTCTAGGAGGAGTGTCAAAAAGGATCTTGCTGTGACTTATGTCATAGAGTGTTCTGCCTATGTTTTCCTCTAAGAGTTTTATAGTGTCTGGCCTTACATTTAGGTCTTTAATCTATTTTGAGTTTATTTTTGTGTATGGTGTTAGGGAGTGTTCTAATTTCATTCTTTTACATATAGCTGTCCAGTTTTCCCAGCACCACTTATTGAAGAGGCTGTCTTTTCTCCATTTTACATTCTTGCCTCCTTTATCAAAGGTAAGGTGACCATATATGCGTGGGTTTATCTCTGGGCTTTCTGTCCTGTTCCACTGATCTATACTTCTGTTTTTGTGCCAGTACTATACTGTCTAGATTACTGTAGCTTTGTAGTATAGTCTGAAGCCTGGGAGCCTGATTCCTCCAGCTCCATTTTTCTTTCTCAAAATTGCTTTGGCTATTCAGGGTCTTTTGTGTTTCCATACAAATTGTGAAATTTTTTGTTCTAGTTCTGTGAAAAATGCCATTGGTAGTTTGATAGGGATTGCATTGAATCTGTAGAGTGCTTTGGGTAGTATAGTTATTTTCACGGTGTTGATTTTTCCAATCCAAGAACTTGGTATATCTCTCCATCTGTTTGTATCATCTTTAATTTCTTTCATCAGTGTCTTATAGTTTTCTGCATACAGGTCTTCTGTCTTCTTAGGTAGGTTTATTCCTAGGTATTTTATTCTTTTTGTTGCAGTGGTAAATGGGAGTGTTTCCTTAATTTCTCTTTCAGATTTTTCATCATTAGTGTGTAGGAATGCAAGAGATTTCTGTGCATTAATTTTGTATCCTGCTACTTTACTACATTCATTGATTAGCTCTAGTAGTTTTCTGGTAGCGTCTTTAGGATTCACTACATAGAGTATCATGTCATCTGCAAACAGTGACAGTTTTATTTCTTCTTTTCCAATTTGGATTCCTTTTATTGCTTCTCTGATTGCTGTGGCTAAAAATTCAAAAACTAGGTTAATAGAGGTGAGAATAGGCAACCTTCTCTTGTTCCTGATCTTAGTGGAAATGGTTCCAGTTTTTTACCACTGAGAATGATGTTGGCTGTGGGTTTGTCATATATGGCCTTTATTATGTTGAGGTAAGTTCCCTCTATGCCTGCTTTCTGGACAGTTTTTATCATAAATGGGTGTTGAATTTTGTTGAAAGCTTTTTCTACATCTATTGAAATGATCATATGGTTTTTATTCTTCAGTTTGTTAATATGGTGTATCGCATTGATTGATTTGCGTATATTGAAGAATCCTTGCATTCCTGGGATACACCCCACTTGATCATGGTGTATGATCCTTTTAATGTGCTGTCGGATTCTGTTTGCTGGTATTTTGCTGAGGATTTTTGCATCTATGTTCATCAGTGATATTGAACTATAGTTTTCTTTCTTTGTGACATCCTTTTCTGGTTTTGTTATCAGGGTGATGGTGGCCTCGTAGAATGACTTTGGGAGTGTTCCTCTCTCTGCTATATTTTTGTAGAGTTTGAGAAGGATAGGTGTTAGCTTTTCTCTAAATGTTTGATAGAATTCGCCTGTGAAGCCATCTGGTCCTGGGCTTTTGTTTGTTGGAAGATTTTTAAACACAATTTCAATTTCAGTGCTTGTGATTGGTCTGTTTATATTTTCTGTTTCTTCCTGGTTCAGTCTTGGAAGGTCGTGCTTTTCTAAGAATTTGGAATTTGTCCATTTCTTCCAGGTGGTCCTTTTTTTTTTTTTTTTTTTTTTTTTTGTGATACGTGGGCCTCTCACTGTTGTGGAGCACAGGCTCTGGGCGCACAGACTCAGTGGCCATGGCTCACGTGCCTAGCCACTCAGCAGCATGTGGGATCTTCCCGGACCGGGGCATGAACCCGTGTCCCCTGCATCGGCAGGTGGGCTCTCAACCACTGTGCCACCAGGGAAGCCCCAGGTGGGCCATTTTATTGGCATATAGTTGCTTGTATTTATCTCTCATGATCCTTTGTATTTCTGCAGTGTCAGTTATTACTTCTCCTTTTTCATTTCTAATTCTATTGATTTGAGTCTTCTTCCTTATTTTCTCGATAAGTCTGGCTAATGGTTTATCAATTTTGTTTATCTTCTCAAAGAACCAGTCTTTAGTTTTATTGATCTTTGCTATTGTTTCCTTCATTTCTTTTTCATTTATTTCTGATCTGATCTTTGTGATTTCTTTCCTTCTGGTAACTTTGGGGGTTTTTTGTTCTTCTTTTTCTAATTGCTTTTGGTGTAAGGTTAGGTTGTTTATTTGAGATGTTTCTTGAGGTAGGATTGTATTGCTATGCACTTCCTTCTTAGAACTGCTTTTGCTGCATCCCATAGGTTTTGCATCATTGTGTTTTCATTGTCATTTGTTTCTAGGTATTTTTTGATTTCCTCTTTGATTTCTTCAGTGATCTCTTGGTTATTAAGTAGTGTGTTGTTTAGCCTCTATGTGTTTGTATTTCTTACAGATTTTTTTCTTGTAATTGATATCTAGTCTCATAGCATTGTGGTCGGAAAAGATACTTGATATGATTTCAGTTTTCTTAAGTTTACCAAGGCTTGATTTGTGACTCAATAAATGATCTATCCTGGAGAATGTTCCATGAGCACTTGAGAAGAAAGTGTATTCTGTTGTTTTGGGGTGGAATGTCCTATAAATATCAATTAAGTCCATCTTGTTTAATGTATCATTTAAAGCTTGTGTTTATTTATTTTCATTTTGGATGATCTGTCCATTGGTGACAGTGGAGTGTTAAAGTCCCCTACTCTTATCATGTTACTGTCAATTTCCCCTTTTATTATGGCTGTTAGCATTTTCCTTATGTATTGAGGTGCTTCTATGTTGGGTGCATAAATATTTAGAATTGTTATATCTTCTTGGATTGATCCCTTGAGCATTATCTAGTGTCCTTCTTTGTCTCTTGTAATAGTCTTTATTTTAAAGTCTATTTTGTCTGATATGAGAATTGCTACTCCAGCTTTCTTTTGATTTCTATTTGTGTGGAATATCTTTTTCCATCCCCTCACTTTCAGTCTTTATGTGTCCCTAGGTCTGAAGTGGGTCTGTCATAGACAGCATATATGCGGGTCTTATTTTTGTATCCATTCAGCCAATCTATGTCTTTTGGCTGGAGCATTTAATCCCTTTACATTTAGGGTAATTTTCAATATGTATGTTCCTATTACCATTTTCTTAGTTGTTTTGGGTTTTTTTATTGTAGGTCTTTTCCTTCTCTTGTGTTTCTACCTAGGTAAGTTCCTTTAGCATTCGTTGTAAACCTGGTTTGGTGGTGCTGAATTATCTTAGCTTTTGCTTGTCTGTAAAGGTTTTAATTTCTCCGTTGAATCTGAATGAGTTCCTTGCTGGGTAGAGTAGTCTTGGTTGTAGGGTTTTCCCTTTCATCACTTTAAATATGTCCTGCTACTCCCTTCTGGCTTGTAGAGTTTCTGCTGAAATATCAGCTGTTAACCTTATGGGGATTCCCTTGTATGTTATTTGTTGCTTTTCCCTTGCTGCTTTTAATATTTTTTCTTTGTATGTAATTTTTGATAGTTTGATTAATATGTGTCTTGGTGTGTTTCTTCTTGGATTTATTCTGTATGGGACTCTCTGTGCTTCCTGGACTTGATTAACTATTTCTTTTCCCATACGAGGGAAGTTTTCAACTATAATCTCTTCAAATATTTTCTCAGCCCCTTTCTTTTTCTCTTCTTCTTCTCGGACCTCTATAATTTGAATGTTGGTGTGTTTAGTGTTGTCCCAGAAGTCTCTGAGAGTGTCTTCAGTTCTTTTCATTCTTTTTTCTTTATTCTGTTCTGCAGTAATTATTTCCACTATTTTCCAGGTCACTTATCCATTCTTCTGCCTCAGTTATTCTGCTATTGATTCCTTCTAGAGAATTTTTAATTTCATTAATGTGTTGTTTATCATTGTTTGTTTACTCTTCAGTTCTTCTGCATCCTTGTTGAACGTTTCTTGTATTTTCTTGATTGTGTTTTCAAGATTTTGGATCATCTTTCCTATCATTATTCTGAATTCTTTTTCAGGTAGACTGCCTCTTTCCTCTTCCTTTGTTTGGTCTGGTGGGTTTTTATCTTGCTCCTTCATCTGCTGTGTGCTTCTCTGTCTTCTCATTTTGCTTAACTTACTGTGTTTGGGGTCTCCTTTTCGCAGGCTTCAGGTTCATAGTTCTTTTTGTTTTTGGTGTCTGCCCCCAGTGGCTAAGGTTGGTTCAGTGGGTTGTGTAGGCTTCCTGGGGGAGGGGACTGAAGGTTGTGTTCTGGTGGATGAGGCTGGATCTTGTCTTTTTGGTGGGCAGGTCTGTGTCCGGTGGTGTGTTTTGGGGTGTCTGTGACCTTATTATGATTTTAGGCAGCCGCTCTGCTAATGGGTGGGGTTGTGTTCCTGTCTTGCTAGTTGTTTGGCATAGGGTGTCCAGCACTGTAGCTTGCTGGTCATTGAGTGGAGCTGGGTCTTAGCGTTGAGATGGTGATCTCTGGGATAGCTTTCATCATTTGATATTACATGGAGCTGGGAGGTCTCTGGTGGACCAATGTCCTGAACTCCGCTCTCCCACCTCAGAGTCAGAGGCCTGACAGCCAGCCGGAGCACCGAGACCCTGTTAGCCAGAAAGAAAGAAAGAGAGAGAGCGAGAGAGAGAGAAAGCAAGAGAGAAAGAAAGAAAAGAGCAACCAAACCAAAAAACAAATCCAGCAATGATAACAAGTGCTAAAAAATATACTAAAAACAAAACAAAAAATAGACAGACAGAACCCTAGGAGAAATGGTAAAAGCAAATCTATATAGACAGAATCATTCACAGAAGCATACACATACACACTCAGAAAAAGAGAAAAAGGAAAAAAATATATATATCATTGCTCCGAAAGTCCACCGCCTCAATTTGGGATGATTCATTGTCTATTCAGGTATTCCACAGATGCAGGGTACATCAAGTTGATGGTGGAGATTTAATCCGCTGCTCCTGAGGCTGCTGGGAGATATTTCCCTTTCTCTTTGTTCGCACAGGTCCTGGGGTTCAGCTTTGGATTTAGACCCTCCTCTGCATGTAGGTCTCCTGAGAGCATCTGTTCTTTGCTTAGACAGGGCGAGGTTAAAGTAACCGCTGATTAGGGGGCTCTGGCTCAATCAGGCCGGGGGGAGGGAGGGGCATGGAGTGCGGGGCGAGCCTGCGGTGGCAGAGGCCAGCGTGACATTGCACCAGCCTGAGGCGCGCCGTGCGTTCTCCCAGAGGAGTTGACCCTGGATCTCGGGACCTTGGCAGTGGCGGGCCGCACAGGCTCCCCGGAAGGGGGGTGTGGATAGTGACCTGTGCTCGCACACAGGCTTCTTGGTGGCGGCAGCAGCAGCCTTAGCATCTCATGCCCGTCCCTGGGGTCCACGCTTTTAGCCACAGCTCGCGCCCATCTCTGGAGCGCGTTTAGGCGGTGCTCTGAATCCTCTCCTGCGTACCCCGAAATAATGGTCTCTTGCCTCTTAGGCAGTTCCAGACCTTTTCCCCGGACTCCCTCCCGGCTAGCTGTGGCTCACTAGCCCCCTTCAGGCTGTGTTCATGCAGCCACCCCCAGTCCTCTCCCTGGGATCCGACCTCCGAAGTCTGAGCCTCAGCTCCCAGCCCCCCCACCCCACCCAGCGGGTGGGCAGACAAGTCTCTCTGGCTGGTGAGTGCTGGTTGGCACCGAGCCTTTGTGAGGGAATCTCTCTGCTTTGCCCTCCGCACCCGTGTTGCTATGCTCTCCTCCATGGCTCTGAAGCTGCTTCCCCCCCTCCGCCACCCCCCGTCTCCACCCGTGAAGGGGCTTCCTAGTGTGTGGAAACCTTTCCTCCTTCACAGCTCCCTCCCAGAGGTGCAGGTCCCATACCTATTCTTTTGTATATGTTTTTTCTTTTTTCTTTTACCCTACCCAGGTATGTGGGTAGTTTCTTGCCTTTTGGGAGGTCTGAGGTCTTCTGCCAGCGTTCAGTAGGTGTTCTGTAGGAGTTGTTCCACGTGTAGATGTATTTCTGATGTATTTTTGGGGAGGAAGGTGATCTCCGCGTCTTACTCTTCCGCCATCTTAAAGGTCTCCCCCCAGCAATGTATTTTTTAAAGTTTTATGATAACTTAAGCAATATCAAAGATAGCATTAGATAAACAATATGGTCACATTTGCCTCTAACAACTAGTAAACCAGGTCACTATGACTCAAGTGACCTGTTTTCTTCAAATTTCTAGTATCACAAATCTGTGGTCTGTCATGGAACTTTATAAAAACCTCAAACGTAGAACTAACCAAAAGTCTTAGATTTTATATCACTCTCACTGTCTTTGGCACCTCTAGTCTCTTGTGCTTTCCTTTTCTTTTTTATCCTGACCCTTAAGCTCTTGCTGTCTTTGTCCATCCATTGTCCATCCATCCACAAATATTTATTGCATCCCTGTAAGGCAGGCACTGTCCTGGCTGCTGAGGATACAGCAGAGAACAATTTAGACAGATTTCCCTGCCCTCATGGGGCTTGAGCCCTATGTGTATCTCTTAAACTGAGCTCCTTACTCAGTCACCCCTCCAGTAGCTCCCTGGGTTCTGTACTTCATCGTCCTTCTGTCATGCCCATTATGCCAGCTGGGGATCCTCTAGCATCTGGCCTTTTGACCTTGTTCCTGGACTACCTTCTGGAAAAGGTTAAGAAGGTTAAGAATCAACTATCTGTTGAGGTGGCCCACTGCTAAATCATGCTTCTTAACCTGAGCTGGGCTCCTACTGACACTGAGCAATTTTTTTTTATAATTTTAATATCTTATTACATTCTTGTTCTAAGATTTTTAGTCTCCAAAAAGAAAAAAAAAAAAAAAATCCCAAACCAAAAACCGTGAAACAGAAAACAAGGATATCTTCATCTGTCCTCCCTCTCATTTTAGGAGCTTATTTTACTTTCTATTTTGTTGAGAAGTTTTAGATCCAGAAAGTTTAGTCTCATTCTCTCTTGAACTTTAAAAGTTTTACTGTCTTTACTCATTTTTGACTCTTTTCCTTGTCTAATGGATCAAGTGTCTCCTTATATCCAGTAACTTACCAAAAGCTCTCTGTTGATTCTGCCTCTGAAATGTCTTTTCAGCTCTTTCCTCCTAATTTGAAAGTTTTGTTATTTTTCAACTGGACTTTAGTAATAGTTTAATAAATTATTTCCCTGCCTCAGTCTCTTCCTCCTGGTGCCCTTTCCTACCTTGTAGTCACCACCTCTGAGGTGGTATTTCTAAAAGCCATGTGTAATGATGCCATTTCTCTCCGTACAGTCCTCTGATGCTTAGAGGGAGAGGTTGACCTGCACAGTCCTTCAGTTTGGCCTTCATCTGTGTTATCTCCAGATGTTTTTCTTCAAGAATCTTGTGTTCCACTTAGAAGTGTTCAAGGTCTTAGCTCTTCTCTCTGCCTTTGCATAACCTACCTAGAATTGCTTCATCCTGGCTCCTTTTCTTCTGGTTGGATTCTAATTTATCATGAAGATATTTCAGATGTCATCTGCTCTGTGAGGGCTTCACTACTTCTCCCAGGCTGAGTCAGTTATTCTTCGGCTTGGACTTAACAAATTGCATTTTATTACTGAACTGCTCTTAGGCATGAAGCAGGACTCCTTCTCATTAAGTTGAATGTCAGTGGACTAGAGTCTGAGAGGGAAAGAAGGTAAACCATGTTTGGTGATTTAAGAGTACTGTAGTATCCTACTTTATTTACTACAGATAGACTGAAGAGTGAAGATGTTTCATACAAAGCCTGGGTGTTACTTCCTATAGGGCTTAGACATTTGGAATCTTAGAAAGGCATACCACTGGTTACAGGGGAAGTGGGTGAGAGTGAAGACCAAATTTGTCAATTAATTATAGGTATAGTTGAGCTTTAATGATGTATATATCTCCAGTATTGGAAGAGATAAACTCTTGGTACAGGTCTCATGGTCAGTGATAATCAACTTTGTATCATCATTGTCTTCAACTTATAACATGCCAGATCATAAATAATTCATTCTAGAATGGCTTTTTTTGTAGCTGGAATTTTTAGACTATGAACTGGAAACATGAAGTTGCTCTTAAAATGTGTGGTCTCTGCTGACCAATGCAGATGTTGGTATGAGTAGTAGTTCAGGATTTCGTCACTTGCACCTCAGATGCACATTTAAAAAGTCTCTGTTTGGTACTGCCATTGGGTTGTATCTTTTATTTCTGAGTGTAAGACTGCAGGGGAAATCTTCTGTCTTTTGCAGCTGGAAACAACGTGGAGGTAGATGAGTCTTTGTTCCAGGAAATGGATGACTTGGAGCTGGAGGATGATGAGGATGATCCAGACTACAATCCTGCTGACCGGGAGAGTGACTTGACCGACTAATGGACTAGCCCGTCTTCAGAGAGGCTTGACTGCCATAGCATCTGTGGCTGTGCTAAGAGGGTGTTGATTTTCCTTTCTTTTTTCTAAGAAAAAATAATTTTCAGGAGAATATTCTTCTGATGGCTTTCATCATTGAACTTAATAAACTGATCTTAAAATTTCAGATATAAAATGTTCAATTCCTCTTATTGGTGGGAAGAAGGCCACATATTTAAAATCATTTAGTGTTGGAGAGAAATTCTGCCTAAAACACCAAGACTGGAAGGTCAGCTGTTGCTGTACCCAGGTGTGGGTTTATATGCAAGGAATTGGAATAACTTGGAATTTCTGTGCTAGAGACTGGTGGCTTTTGAATTCTAAGGGTTGTCATTCATGTAAAATATTAGAAGACTGAGGCGAACAGAGCATTAAACCTTCTGAATTCTAGCCTTCGGGCATAATAAATTTAAGTCTTAACAAAACCAGAAGCCCATATAATAGTCAGGAGTAAAATGGACTTTAGTCATATAGTAATATCTGAATCAGAATCATCTTTGGAGTTATTAAAAAGTGTGCACTCCTGGTCCCTTCTCAGTGGAGGTTAATAAACACTGAGCCTCATCCTGAGTTTTAAAATGGTGAAATCTCATACCTGTGACACAGGTGATTGTGATGCACATTCCTGATGAAGAACTACTGTCCTACAGTTGTCAAGTCTATAAATTGTGATTTTCCCCACTTTTCTAATTAACCAGTCTGAAGTGGTTTGAATTCTTGGGATTGTACACTGTCTGCAAGAGTACCACACATCCACATTCATGCACACATTAGACCTTTGTGATAATTTGGAATGATCGACTTGGGGGCTCCAGGTAGGAGAGCCAGGCTTCGTGCAAGTTATCCAGTCATTGCAGTTCTGGAGGATTGAATCTTAACCACAATAGGAAATCACTTGTGCTATTGCAAATGGCTTCCTCAATTCAGAAATACTGTATACCCACAAACACAGCAATATCAATCTGTGTTTATTTTTGAAGTCAGACCTTATGATTAAAATAAAGTTAAGACAGAACTATCATTGAGGAATTTAATGCTTTTCACCCACCTTGATCCTGACCAATAAAGAGGAATAGCAGTAATGTTCAGTATTTCTATGCAGAGAGAAGTCCAAAAGTTTGTTACGTGAGACTTTGCTTTTCCTAAGGAGAGATCCTTTCTGCAGCTGATCAGCAGTTGCATAAGAACCTGAAGGAGTGGTTCAGTTAAGAAAAGCAGTCGTGAGCAGTGTAGTATGAGGTCAATGAAGACTTGACCTTGAAGTATCAAGAATGAGTACACTTGCCCCTCACATAATTTTTTAAAGTCTAAGTTTTACACATTTTCTACAGATATTGAATAACCACCTTTGTCATTTCAGAATGTAGGCAGACCCTAATGAAATGGAAATAAAGACAACCTGGTTAGTTCTAATGATAATCCCAAATATTTTCACCCGGAGTAAAAATTAACTTTACTGTTGGCTTTGTATTCTGGGAATTAACCAAAGACTCTGCTTCTCAAACTGGAGCACACTTAATTCCTGGATGTGTAACAGCATGACTGGTAGTATTTGAAGCAATAATTGGCCTATCTTGAATTATCAGTTTTGCTTTTGGATTTGGGAAAATTTTTGTTTTGGTTTTTCTACTCGTATTAACTTGTATACAGTATTATTAAGTTAAAGACATACACAGATATTTGTATTCATTGCTGTATCCCTGGAACAATGGCGCTGAGTAGGCACCTAATTGTTGGAACAGTATGCAAGATGCTTATGCATTTTAAAGATAAAATATAAGAGTTCAAAGAAATGTTCTATTTGCCATCTGCAGCTTTGAGTAATGCTTCTAGGTTCTGCTTTACTTCACATTGTTCTGGCAGCAAGCATGCCTTAGGGAAAAAAAAAAGTGGATAAATACTAACCTAAGGTAACACATCTAAAAGGTTACCCTTCTGGCAGCAAGGATGACTTAGGAAAAAAAAGTGAATAAATACTAATCTAAGGTAACACATCTAAAAGGTTACATGAACATTTCCTAGTTGAGGCAAAACCAAGAGAGATATCAGTAACATCTCTTATCAGTGAAAAGGATGAGATCATTGATTGTACTGTGGCAAACTCCCAAGGTATATGTGCCAAGAAGTAAAGAGATGCATTCTTGGATTCCAGAAGAAAGGAAATTGTGGGTTTTCAATATTTATGTGCTAGCTGGTTGTTAGGTGTTATAAAGGTGCAAACAGATAGTAAGTAAACGACTGCAAGTAGCTCCTAGTGTTTGTCTTTCAGAGAACATACATGACAGGCAGCGATCGTAGGGATTGTATGATTATGGGTTAAAATGAGTCACACAGTTCAAGAACTGTAGAGAGTAATTTTAGAGAGACCATTTAGGTCTAAAGTGACAGGGAAAGTTTTCCACAAATGACACGTGGAGTGTGAATTCATATAGATAGGTAAATGTGAATGACACTAGTTTGTTTGCTGCCTTAGGACCTGTGTCTGAGTAACAGAGATGACAGAATGTTGCCAAAAGGTGTACTGTGAAGTTTATAGGTTCCTTTTTCATGTCACCTTTCTTGGGCAAACTCATCAAAGGACTTGAAAGAAGGGGGTTGAGTTGGATTCCAAATGTACTAAATCCCCTCCATTAATAAAAGATGGGAAAATGCTCGGGAAGTTTCAAGAATATTGTAAAGGGTTATCGAATCAAAAATTTCACAGTGCTGTGTAAAGCCATAATGGCACCTGAGCTAAAAGGAAAAACAATAATTATTTAAAATTTGGATAATTCATTTATCATGGATTTTTACATTGATTTTTATTTTTTAAATGCTGCATTAAAATATTATTTATCTTTGTTGAATTTTATGCATCTCCTTAAATTTTGCACCCAAGGTAAGTGCCTCACTCACCTGACTGTCATTCTTGCTGTTTCAAAGAGGTTCTCAGGGTCCTATGGCCTCCATCCCAAAGAACATTAGGTAGAAAGACCAGGAAAAGAAACTACTTTTTCAGGTAAAGTGGGCTTCTTTGCATAAATGAAAGTGCTCAGTGGACAAACAAAATGAAGCCATATTACTACCAGCCAAATAGTTAAGGTAAAGTAATTAAGGACATGAGTGTGGGCTGCTGCCACATGCCCAAGACATTAAAAAATAGGTCACTGGCTTTACTCATACCAGTCCAAGCTTATTTAAATGTGATATAATCATTAAATGAAAATGAATTATACTCCAGATTTGGTGGTATCATTAATAGATTTATTGTTGTGGAACTCTGTTTTGAAAATATGGATCTAGAGCATTCTCCACCTGTACATTTGAGAGAAAGTTAAAAAAACTTATTGATTTTAATTTGGATGTATCTTCTGATGTAAATTTTGCTTTTAAAGTATCGGAGTGATCCATCTCTATTGATCTAAAGGCCCTTAAGACATTAGGATCTGTTACTAAAGGTATTTGTTTTAAAAGGTAAATATTGATGCTAATAAAGGTATGCATTTAATGTTTTCCATGCTATTATCAGCTGATATTATGGGATTCTATTTGAGAATAGAATAGAAACGGAAATGTCTCTGTGCATATGTTTTTTTTTTTACATAGTGAGGCTGAGATTTCTCACCGACATTGGTGCTCAATTGATAATAAACCAAGCACACTTTGAGCCAGCCCCTGGGAGCTTGAGCACAAAAGGAAAAAAGTAAGGATTTAATACTTGATATTTCAGTTCACCACTGAAATTTAACGTGTTGCTTAATATGAAAATATCTGAGATGGTTCTGCTGGAAAGAGGTGTGAATTGGAATAATGGGCTTGTCTACTAACTGTGGGAGCTTGAAGAAAATTCACATAACCTCTGATCCTCAACTTTCTCATCTGTAAGGTGGGGGATTATAATAGTTCCTTAACATGAAAAAGGTGTTAAAAAAAGGAAACTTAATAAACATCAAAACTGGGCTGTTAACAGGGAACTTCCTCACAGGCCTTTGTCTACAAATCTCTCCCACCTTTCCCATTCCACCTGCCCTACACAATCAAATTATAATGAAGACGTCTACTGCTATGGACTGAAGATTTGAGTTCCCTGAAATTCAAATGTTGAAATTATAACCCCCATGGTGATGATGTTAGGAGGTAGTGCCTTTGGGAGTTGATGAATGGGATAATTGCCCTTGTAAAAAGAGGGCCTTGAAAGCTCCCTGCCCCTTCTGCTATGTGAAGTTACAGTGAGAAGACAGCCAAGGGAGCCAATTCTCACCAGACAAGAATATGCTGCTGTCATAACCTTGGACTTCCCAGCCTCCAGAACTGTGAGAAATAAATTTTTATTGTTTATAAGCCACCCAGTCTACGGTATTTTGTTAGAGCAGTCTGAATAGACTCAGACAAATACTCCTCCATCTTCCTTCTGCCAGTATTTCATCAAAAAATCGAATTCTGGAAAAGAACAAAAGATATATTTGCAGCGGAGATAGCACCTCCTTTAGCTCCAGTTGTTGCCCTGCATTTGCATCTGTAGCAGCAAAAGTGCCTCAAGTGAGAACAGCTCTGAAGGGTGTCCCAGCTCCTTAGCCCCGTGTTTGTGACTCGCTGTGGATACTGTTAAACCGCATTGCAGTTCAACTTCTCCCTGTGCAGTCTTGCTTCCTTCACTCCCTCACAGGTGTTGTTCCTGAGAGCTCTTCCCAGTCTGCAGGCACGTCTCTGTTTCCTGGGGGAACCCAACCTAAAATGTCTTACAATAATTTTTACAATAAACGTCTTACAATAATAATTTAAATTAAAGCAGTACGGTGACCCAATGGCAGAACAATGATAGATCAGAACATATGAGGGCAGAGTTTGGTGGGATGGACCTTGAGTCAGTGCCCTTGGCTGCCCACAGACCCTAAGTGCTGCTCGGGAGTGATTCTGGGTCAGGGTTAAAGTGTGGGAGCGCTTTTGACTGTCACAATATATCAGAGTGGCTAGAAGCCAGAGATACTAGACATCTTCTGGTGGGAGGACGTTCTCACAACAAGAAAAACTGTTCTGAATCTTGCACAAATTTCTCACCTTCTTCTGGACATTCATGGTGGTGAAAAACCTGTCTAACTACCTTAGTGTTGAACTAATTCCAGTTGTGTGTGAACTCAAAGTTTATTTTGCAT